CGGGACGACGTTCAACAGCGGCAATGCCAGTTTCAATGGGACGTAGAGCTGAAGGACCCAATCGAAGGGCCTCAAAACCTTCGCATAACTCTGCAGTTCGGCGCGCAGTTCATCCTCGGCAATCTCCCTCGACACACTGACGAGGTTCAGCCTCGCGCCTCGCACCCCAAGAGCGTGCCATTTCTCCAGTGTCTCCGCGTCGATGGTTTCTGGGTCGAGGACCACCACGGCGCGCCCGTGCTTGGGCGTCAATTGCTCAAGGGCTTCCAGCATGCATGAATTGTCGTCTCCATAGATTGATGGTTGCACGAGAACCATATTCTCGATGCCATATTGGGCGCAAAAGGCTTTGGCGTCAGCTAGAGTATGCGGATGCGGCCTGTACTGAGCGTCGGCGGCCAAAGGGAAGCGAGTCGGGTCCACGACATGCATGTGGCTATCCCAGGTGCCTTTTGGGAGCGAGCGGGAGAGCTGAGGTTGCTTGGATGGACTAGAATGGGTGCTGTGGGAACGAATCCTGCATGTAGCGGAAGCGAAGCCAAGGTAGCCTCCTGATCGAGTCCGTAGGCCAAAGGTCCCTCGAAAAGGTAGCATCCTTCCCACCAAGAAGCCCACCTCGGCGGAGCAAGTTGTGGTGACAGGATGAAGATGGAAGACGAGAAACTGATATCTTTCGGAACCACATTTCACCGATACCGAGATCGCTTCAGCACGACAATCAGACTAATCAACTTCCATCACTGCTGCTTTCCCTGGCTCGCTCAGTCATGTACATTCTTGCCCTTGTGCTTAAACCGTTACTCTCTACCAATATTGACCTACGCGCTGTCCAGGTTCCTCGTCTCTTCCATTTCTCCAACCCTCACCGCCAGAGGAGGTACGAGTCGACAAAGATCATACTCCTTTAGAGACCCCTTCTGTACCCCTTTGTGCGCCTTTATATTTGAGACTGGGTCCGGCCCATACTAAGCTTCGATGCTGGTGGGGCATCAAATCCAACATCTTCTTCTGCGGACCGAGCCCTCTCCGTGGGAGCAATAAAGAAGTGGGCCGAATTGATTCGGACCTTCAGGATTACCAACAGTGTGAGAGTTGGATATCCTTCTCGCGGTGGTTTCATGCCTTAGCAGACCGACTCTGCTTGTACGTGTAGCAGCGCTGGCACTTGGCTTTTGGACGGCCTGCATTTTCCGCTGGGCGGAGGACATGGTTGAGGATTTAGGCGACCATGGTGAAAGAACGGGTTCGAATGCGGCACGTCAGCTTCCAAGACAGCGCGGATTGCCACAAGGGGCAGCACCTTCAAGTAAGTCCTGAGTCACGGCATCCTGCGGCCGAGTGCTCGACGAACTTCATCACAAAACCCCATGAAATTTCCCGAAACGTATTCGACCTGCTTACGGACCCGGCTTCGCCTCACTTGACTGGGATTCAGTTGTCGTTTATAGGCAGCCCAATGAGATTACCACTACGATTCCCTTATATCGGTCCTCGCTTCCTCTCCGAACAAGGAAACCAGGAAGCGTTACCAGGAGAGCAGTCCGTCAAATCGATGAATCAGAAATGACAAGTTTCGAGAGAATTCCACGAACCAGGGCAAAGCATTGGAGGTAGAACCTTGATGCTTCGTCATACATGGCTAATGCAGACGAATCGACTCACAGGTTGAGGTGTCGGATGGTGACCAGACTCGTACTTTTCCCACTGCCGAAGTTCTCAACCACCAATACCTGCTCGATGGTTAAGCGAGGGCGACTGAGCTAGCCTTGGGCAATACTTGCTCGCAGCCCCGGAAAACTCATGGGGTCGATGTGGGGTATATTCCGCATATTCCCCCCTGATCTCCTATCCGGGACATTCTGGAGGCCGTCTCCACAATATGTGTGTGTCTCCATACCGGGTCTGGGACATCTCTGTGAATGATTTGCGGATCTTGACACTGTCCTCGGTAGCATGCACGAGTCCATCCCAGAAAATATCCTCATACTTCTTGATAAGAACGCTCTGCTTCCCCAGATGGAGTCCTTTCTCTTCCTCCACTTTTCCTGGAGGTATTGGTTGTGGACAGAAATACATCGAGAGGCTTTTCAATCCACATCTAGTTGTTGTCTCGTTCGTTGTTCATAGTCATGGCAGAAGACAAAGAAATCGGCCAGCTCTCAGCTGTTGAGAACGTCACGGAGCTACACGAGTTCAAGAATGCAGAAGGCTATGTCATCGATGCCACCGACCCGGAGCATGCCAATCTGAAACGAGCCCGCGATGGCCATACGATCCTCCTTCCCCAGCCCTCCAGCGATCCCAACGACCCCCTCAACTGGAGCCGCTTCAAGAAGCACATCATCTTGATCATCATCTCCATGACAGCATTCCTACCAGATTATGGCAGTGCGACGGGAGCAGTCACGTTGCTTCCACAAGCTGCAATCTGGAACATGACCCCCGACCACGTCAATCATTCTCAAGTCGGCAATGTCTTCATGTTGGGTGCTGGAGGTGTGGTTGTCGTGGCGCTGTCGGCCTACTTCGGCCGTCTTCCTGTGCTTTTCTATTTCATGGTCCTTGCCACGGCGACAGCGATTTGGTGTGCCGCTGCGAAGTCATTCGAGTCGTTCATGGCTGCTCGAATCCTCAATGGTTTCTTCAGCACTGTTTCACAAGGTGGCGGTCTCATGTTTATATATGACATGTTCTTTTTCCACGAAAGAGCGAGGAAGATCAATATCTGGGCCGCGTTCATTATTCTGTCCCCGTAAGTGGCGGTGCTACTTTCAAATGAAGTCCCTCAAGAAGCTGACTGGTGATTACAGATATTTCGGTCCATTATTTGCAGCGTTTATTATCAGCACTCAACCCTGGCAAGTCCCTTTCTGGGTATACGTTGCGGAGGTAAGACCGTATCTTCCAACTATTAATTTCAGCCGCTGACATGTACGCGACCAGACCTCCCTCTGCCTTGTCCTGATCATCTTGTTTGTCGAGGAGACTTACTACGACCGTCGAATCCCCCAAGATTCCCAGCCTCCTCGAGGCAACCATATTTCGCGACTCTTGGGGATTTCGCAATGGAAATCGCGCCACCTGCGCAACACTCTGTCTCAAGCACTCATGCGACCGGTCAAGGTCATCTTGAAACCCACCGTCTTCATCTCGTGCTTCTACTACCTGCTCACCTTCGCCTGGGTTGTCGGTATCAATACCACCCTCTCCATCTTCCTCACGCCGCTCTACAACTTCGGCCCCAAACAGATCGGATACTTCTACTTCACGCCCATTGTTGCGGCACTGGTCGGTGAGGTCACCGGTCACTGGCTCCACGATTACATCGCGACAAGCTACATCCACAAGCACGGCGGCCACTTCGAGCCCGAGGTCCGGCTGCGAGCCATGTGGGTGTCCACCCCGTTTATGCTGGCCGGCCTCGTGGGTCTGGGCTTCGCCCTCGAAGACGGCTACCACTACATGGTGACGTCCGTCTTCTGGGGCCTCTACGTCTTCGGCATCATGGTCACCACCGTCGGTTTGAACGCCTACAATCTGGACAGCTACCCCGAAGCGTCCGGTGAGACGGCCTCGTGGGTCAACTTTTGTCGCACCACCGGCGGCTTCATCATCAGCTATTTCCAGGTGACGTGGGCCAACGCCCAGGGCACAAAGGTCAGCTTCGGCATCCAGGCCGCCATCTGCGCCTTTGCCTTTTGCCTGATCGTGTTTTTGCAGTTCTTTGGTAAGAGGTTGAGAGTCATGGCGGGCGGTCTCAACTTTGTGACGTCTTGAACAAATGGCAAAACAAAGAAAGAAAGAAGACAAAAAAAGTTTTCGATTTTTTCGGTATGTGTGTACGTCACTGGGACTGGTACACGGACCGGGCTTCATGGGTTGGGTTGGTGCATGGTTGGGGCGATAAGACACATGTAGGCGGAACAACTTTTAGGTTTGGCAGATTGACAAATACATATATACATACATACAATGCTAATAGAAACTACATTCGTGTCCCTGTCCCTCTGTTCCTTGGGGCTCCTGACATTTTTTGATACTGTGCCGCCAATTTGATATATGCCATCCAGGTCTCGGTTCGTATATATGCTATTCCGTGTAATATACAATACAATACATATCACACACCACATCAAATAAAATAATTATATTACGTGAGATCCAACAGTCGCGCAATCGCGGCTCTTGTTGTCAGCAGAGTAATTAGCGAGGAATCACACGTGCACAGGAGGTGTCTAGGATGGATAGATAGATCAGTGAAATAGAGAGGTGATTGGAGAGTCATGTACTGTTCAATAAATCAACAATTCAACGTTCAACGTTATTTCTATGATTTGACACTGTTGTTCTGACCTGCTATCTAGCCAGGTTGCCATGTAGCTATCACAAGTAGTAACCATCTGGTGTAGCAGTGGTGAAGCCACTCGAGTGGTGTGGAGAATGGAGGTAGGCTGTCTTCTGAGGTGAGTTGACTCCCTGAGTTTTGCAGCCTCGTTGACAACTCCTGCCATTCCAGGCGACATTATCATTTGGAACGAACTTCTGTGTTTGGTTCGTTCGCGCGAGTCGGTGGCATAAAGTCCTCCAGAGAGACACAGGCGATCACAATGTGGTGGTGGACTAGATAGTGGTTCACTAGAATATCCCTCCCCACAACATCCTGCTTCTGGCGGAGATAGTGATCATGCCAATCACTAGCAGTGACGCACTCCCCCCGTCCAGGATGGACCTGGTGGTGGGAGAGCTGCTTAAAGCCTGTGTTCCCTTCGCCGCGTTCGTTTTACTTCCTCCAGCGCGATCAATGTTGTGTCTGCGGACAACGGGCATCACGCTTAACTGCCGTACTCGCTGCTGTGGTGAGTGAGTGGGGCATTCCCGGAAAGACGGCATGCCTGAAGTCGTTCATCTGCACTTGCATCTCCTGGAGGAGAGTTGGAGCATCATGGCGCTTTTGTTGCCTTCTGTGAAGAAAAGAGGCTCATGCCACAAAAGCGTAGGTTTCAAGTTGAGTCGATATTCTTATGAGCCTCCCAATTGTTTAAGAGTTTACCGACCTCTTTAAAGCTCACAGGCTTTGTCATATAAATGTCACAACCGCTGCTGAAAACTTCACTCTGATCTCTGGCACTTGCCAATCCAGTCAAGGCAATAACCATAGCACCAGGTTTACAGCCACGAAGGTCTTCGTACTGACGAATGGCACGGGTCGCCTCAAAGCCGTCCAGCACTGGCATAGAAATGTCCATAAATATGATGTCGAAAGGCTCCTCGGCTGCTTTGACAGCGTCGACAGCCTGCTGACCATCCTCTGCCTGCTCTATCCGGCTGTATTTCCGTTTTGTCTTCAGGAAGGTTTCGAGCAGCTTCAGGTTGATCTTGTTGTCGTCCACCAGCAGAATATGCGGGTCAACACTGCCCGGGGCTGGCTTTGATAGCGAGGGATGCCTGGAGAGAGCGGTTGGGGCTTCATTAGGTGAGGCTGGGTTACTTAGGCTCGTGTGGTTGGTCCATCGATCACTCTCGCGACGCCTTCTTGAGCTCTCTTGACTGTGTGAGGGAAAGGGGAAAGATTCTCCTTCGCTGACATGATTTCTCGGTGTCCGCAGAGCGGTTATGGGGTCATGGATTGCCATCTGTGCATTGTGGCTCGCTTGGGACGCGGCAAAAGTCTCCGTTGCCTGAACCATTTTGGCGTTATCAGTTCCACCAGGCGAGTTGAGGTCGAGCTCGGCCAAGTCCTCCACCACGGACTCTGTCTCGGTTGTACCAGGAGTCATACTTGCAATCTCAGCGCTCGGAAGCACCACTTGTTGGTTGTCCGCCTGCGAGAACCGTGACCGTACCGCCGCTTGCTTTTCGAGAGCCAGCCGTATACTACGAGCCAACTTGTGGGGACCACAAGGCTCTGAAACGAATTCCACAGCACTGCAAATGCGTTCCTCCAGGGACTGCACCAATGCCACGCTGTGTCTGGAAAGAACCGAACACATTACCACTAACGCTGGACGGCGGCCAGGTGTGGCCACCAATCTAGTGAGCAAATGATCCAAGTTCTCCTCCTCTGCGATGACAACGGCGCAACTGTCACATAATTGCTGGTCCAGGAACGGAAGGTTATACCAGTCCTGTACGTACGATCTGACGATGCGTGCGAGGTCGTCGTCTGGTTCCAGTTCCGGTTGCCAGAATGTTACTGTCGCGTCAGACCATTCATCTCTCAATAGAGAAATCGAGCTGTCGGCGTTGGAGCTACCAGTAGAGTTCAGGCCACTGGCACCGTCGGAGAAAGGCGTAGTCTGAGTTGAAGTCTGACCAGGTAAAGGTCTCCTAATAGGTAGAATAACCTCCACCGTTGTTCCCTCATTTAATTTGCTTTTCACATCAATCGAGCCACCCAGCATCAGAATAATGCTCCGCACGATGCTCAACCCTAGCCCGGTTCCGGGGGCCAAAGCATTCTCCTGCGCAAATGGCACAAAGAGCTTAGTAGATAAGAACTCCTGGGAAATACCCTTTCCTGTGTCCGTCACCGTCAACACCATCACATCGTTGCTGTTATCATCTGAAGAAGTTTGTAGTTGGAGTCGAATCTTGATGGTACCCTGACTCGTATACTTGATGGCGTTCCCAGTGAGATTCATGATGATCCGGCGAACTGCCCCGGGTTGGGTCAAGAACGTCCAATCCGCCTTCTGCACGTCCAGCGTGATCTTGACAGGGTCCACGCAGTGATTTTCGGAGCGGACTCTTTTCCCTCGGCCTGGTGCTTCTCGTGGCATCTCCGTGAGGTCTAATCCAGATGTGTATGTATAACCAAGGACCAAACCGTCGACGACTTCCTCCAACACAGCTGACACATCAATAACGCCAAGCAGTTGCAGGAGTGCAGGGGCACCATGAGATATAGTCTTGGAAGAGTTTTCTGGGCCTAAAAAGTTGTGGCGACGCGATCCGTGAGAGTGTTTCTTGTTCGAAGCTTGCCAGTGCTTTTGGAATGAGTTGATCTTGGAGAAGTCCAGGACATGGTTGATGGTATCCAGAAGGGTTCGTCCACAGGAATCAATGGTAGAAATGAGGGATCTCTGAAAGCCAGAGAGATCTGTTTCGGCGAGAAATTCGACGCTGGCAAGGAGGCCATGTAATGGACTTCGCATTTCGTGAGATATGGTGCCGACGAAGTCGGATTTTTGCTTGTCCGCAATCATCGTGTCCAACCGTGAGCACTCGCCCATCAGTGTGCTGCAGAAAGAGTTGAGGAATGGCAATTCAATGGAAGAGTTGAAGGAACGCGTCTCTAACGCTGTAGCAACGAAACAGCCATATGCAAAAGAACCAGTCGTGGCGTCCCACAAGGGCGTAAAGAGGACCTGTCCCGCACAAGGAAAGGCAGCACGGATGGCCTTGACTTCTAGCCGTTTCCGGTGGCTAGGTATTCGCGACTGATTGACAGGGCTCCTGAGTCTGCCTGAAGACTCTATATCATCTTCGGAAGAGGAGGAAGGGTTCCATTCCAGGGTGAATAAGCGACCACCAGGGTACCGTTTGGTAAGGTCCTGGAGTAATTCTCCATCTAAGCCCTTTACCCTCTCATCTAATCCCTTCTCGGGGATGATCGGATTGGACTGGGTCGAGTAGGCGATGATCGATGATTTTGTCAGTGACTGAAGATCTCCGTCAATGGCTCCCATAGCCTGGCCAAGATTGTTTCCGTTCTTCTTACTCGAATTACGCAGACGAGCACCTACAGTGACAAATGCGACGGCACCCTCCTCGCCGAGATCTCCTAAGCATTCACGTAGTAGATTCGCCGCTCTTGCAAAGGTTTTCGTGTGTGACCTTGATTCACCATCGGTCTCGGAATTCCCATTCAGGCTATCTGAATCTGAGGAATCCGAGGTGCTGAGATCTTCGGCATGTTCAAGAGTGACGGTGGTTTGGTTTCGGAGGTTGGACTCAGTCTGCGCAGACGACTTTAGCGGTGGGGAAGCGTCCTTTTCCAGTGGCACAGTCAAGCCATAGGCGAACTTCGACCTCTTCTTGAACAGAGGACTGTGGAGAAATCCTGCCCTATCGCCGTGGATACTCTTGCGTCCCGCAATGAAAGCTTCGAGACCTTCAGCCATACGGCGAGACTGACGTCCTTCTATTGCTTGTCTATTTGTTTCGAGGAAAACCATTATCTGTTGCGCGGTCGAGGTAAGGAACAACTCCTCAGCAGGTGTCAACCCATTTGGACGAGTTTGTGTGTCCATCTTTACGTTTCATAGTGTTAGCTGCAAGACTTCGGATGAATCCAGAGAGCGGTCGACGGGTTTCCCGGTGTTTGACCAACATTTGAACACGAACTCGAAGGGAGGAGAGACTTACGACGGCGAGACTGCCAATATTGACGCCGTCTCTTGTAGTGATCGGAACACCTGCATAGAACCTGTAGTACGGGGGACCCGAGATGATATCCATGTGGGCAAATTGAGATTTCGTAAGGTCGTTGATTACGAACTTGGGCACAGCGCCATGATCTTTATTGTCGAGTCGAATGGTCAGCTCACAGATTTTACCCTTGAGCGGCACTGAGCTGCAGTTCAAGAATATGGGATCTTCGACAAATTCAATGGTCTGTTCGCCCTCGTCCGTGTAGATTTTTGTGGCTTCACTCAGGAAATACATGACATCGCGATCCATGACATTGATCATCGCTTTCCGGACTTTCAAGCGAAACGCGGTCAACTGGCACAGGGGAGAGAGCGCCTTGCACAGATTGGGGACCTCATCGCTGGTGACATTGAGAACCGAAGGGCGACGACGGAGGTGCGGTTGGAGGAGATTGTCTGGTTGAAAGTAGTGGTAGAACTCTCGAGCCCTTCGTGAGTCGTCCATCTGATTGTCGGTCGGTTGGCCGAAAGCCGCACCGCCTTCTGTCGTGACCACCATGGCGTGTCGCGAGTATTAGAGGTCCTCCTGTTCTATAGTTTCTTTTGCACCTCACAGACACAAAGCTCTCTCCTCGAGGAGAGCCAGTGAACAACTTCTTCTCACCATAGCGGAAGGCGCAGGAAGGGGAGCGTACAGCGCAGGCGACGCGGATTGAGGATAAGAATCAGTCAAGATTCTAAGAATTGTAATGCGGTAAGTTCGAGAACCAAGCAGGCTGCCCCACTTGAAAGCAGAGAATTGTAGCAAAACATCGAGCACTGTTCCTTGCTATCAAGGGAGCGCAGGAGAGCGCAGACTGAGGCCAGTCGCAAGGGCCCATCGAGAACTCTGTTGTCCGGGTCTGGAACGCCCAAGATGCATCGAATCCCCCTCCAGTCACGTAACATACCTAATGTGTGTGGATCGACTGTGGCGGCGGCCGGCGGCGGGCTTGGTGCCCTGCAGATCAAGGCTGAGGGAGCAGAAGCCATCAAGCCTACCGCTCTCGGCGACATAATCCGTGGCTGCTGCATCTCTGTATCCTGCGGTCCACGGTACTAATTACGGTTAACCACTTAGCCAAAAACCGCTAAACGTCCGCCGCTCCTCGACGTCAATGAATAATTGAAGCTTGAAGCTCAAGACTCTTCAGTGAACAGCCACGCTGGGCAACGTTGCAAAGTGGTTATTCTTCTTCACCTACCCAACCTCTCAGACACTCTTCACGATGCGAGCGACGTCGCGGCTTTTCGCGACTGTCAAATCAGCATCGAAATATCTTGAACCCAATACGCCAACAGGCCTAACAGGGCTCACGACACACCCATCACCTCGTCCTGCCCTCATCTACACCTACCGACAAACCCTCAATAAACTCGCCCAATTGCCCAAAAGCTCCGTTTATCGCCAGTCCACCGAGGCACTCACAAAACAGCGCCTGGAGATAATCGAATCCGTGAAACCCGAGGGTTACGAACAATGGCTGCAACGGGTGCGCAAGCAGATCGAAGCCAGCCCCTCCGCTTATAATAAACTGCTCAACGAAGATGGCTCGTTGGGTAGTGAGAAACTGCATGTGGAACCAGTGGACAATTGGGACGGCAAGATCACGAGGCAGGACGCGAAATTTGAGGGACCAAACTCATTGGCTCAGGCAGAGGCAAAAGCAAGGGCTGTCAGTGATGAAGTGCGAGAGAAGGAATTGGAGGACAAGGAAGGGATCCCGCCCACTGTAGAGGACCTGGAGGTGGAACCACCATTGACAAAAGAACAGTACGTTTTGGAGTTCAAGTCGGATCTACCATTGCTAATCAACGCTAGGATCGAGGGAATCGAGCAGAAGATTGGTGCGGGCTTGATCGAAGAAGTTATCCAAGTTGCCGAGGGCGAGCTGGACCTGGTGGGAGAAATGCTACAATATCAAGTGTAAGTCTTCTCTACTTGCGTCGTCATTTGTTCTCACTTTATCTTGTGGTGCTCGCTAACAACTCTTAGATGGGAAGATCTGGAAGAAAAGACCCCCACGGGTCAATGGGTATACTTTGAACGTGGCGATAGAGTCTAGTGCCGATCCAGGCTGTCTCAGAAGTTGTACATACAATCCGCAGGAACAGAAATGGGAATCTACAGCCCTGATGTACTGTAATTCTGCATCTGCCAGTAGCTGATGGAAGCCGTGAAAACACGACTCTCATTGATTTGATCCATGGTCTTGATGTGTATTTCCTCTCCAAGGGAGGTGTTCTTTCAACCCTTCAAGACATTCCGTCCAGTCCATGCAACAGGCTCTCCGCGATCTAATATGTACAATCATTCCCAGTCGGTCTCGTCCATATCTTGAGCTCCCTTCCCTCCATCTGCAGCAACTCTTGGTTCCCAAGCTCCCAAGCCTCTTCCAGCATAATTCCTTTAGAAAGGGTTATCCTCCGGCGGCACCTCCCTGATCCAGTAGTTGCCGATGACGGGAACCTTGGACAGAATATCTTGCCTCACGCGAGGGATTTCGCCGAAGAAAAAGATCGCAAAGACGCCAGCCGCGACGCCGAAACCTGAAGCAATAGAGCCGTAACGGAGAACTTTTGGCAGGCTCAAGCCCATGAGGTTGGGAACGTGTTTAGTTCTGGAAGAGATCAAAATTCAGCTCAGAACCGGCAAGAGGGATCTACAGGGACAGGAGATGAGAGGGCGAGTAGGAAACGTACTTTGGTCCATAGGGTGAAATGTAGGTCTCGTATGTTGGCTGCTTGTTGTAGACACGCAGGGGCGTCCGGCCGGAACTTTGAAAGTGTTCGTAGGAAGGCATCCTGCCTTTTGCGTAGGAATATCTAGCGCAGCGATATTGAGACGGGCGGTATCAAGCTATGGAAGCAGGTTCAACGTCGTCGTGCAGTGCTGCAAAATGAGCTTTGAGCTCCGAAGATGTGGTACGGCTGTGGGGATGATGCAAAAGCGCAGTTTGGTGTAGCCAATCAGACGGCAGGCATTTTGAAGACACACGATCTGCGCAGTCGCACCGTCAGGCAACTTGAGCTACTAACAGTGTCCATCTATTCTCTGCCATCATCACAAATAAAATTACCCTCAGGAAGCACGCCCGTGCCCAGCTGCTCCTGCAGCTTCAACGAGCCAAAGAACGGGCCTGGTCTGCTGAGATCTCAGAAGAGTCGGGGTAGTCATGTGTCAGTGGCGTTGAGCATTGTATTCTTTCGTGACTTTTCCGATGAGGACAGGGCATTTTGACCGTGTCCACAGAAGGATCGGGAGTCAAATCTTCAACGGCTTGCCCCTGTTGCCTCAGCGAGGCGCAGCAGGCGTCGAAAGGACTGGTTGGCGAGGCAAGTAGCATAAATAGACAATTGGTTTACCGCTGTACCACATCTCCTCGCTCTTCACATCTGTAGGAAAGCTTGCAATTTTATTGCGTTATAATGGACCAGTACGAGCGGATGAAGTTTGCCGTTCAAAACGACGAGCTTATGGAAGTGTTGGATCTCCTAAACGAAGGTGCAAAACCAACAATGACCGATTTCGTCCAAGCCATTCAAAACAAGTCGTTTCCGATCCTCGAACTTTTTCTGAACGATGGATTTGACATCAAAAAGCAAGCGAGGGACGACTATCCTCCTCCGCTGTCGTGAGTTTCCATATTACTTCCTCTGGCAGGACATGCTAAATCACGCAGCTTCGGCTTGGATGATATGGAGGCGACGAAATGGATGATCGCTCACGGCGCCCTCCCCAATGCACGCTGCAGATTCGATATAACACCGCTGTCAATCGCCGTAATAGCTGCGAGACTGGAAATAATAGAATAGTTATTCGACGCGGGTGCTTCTGTCAAGTTCGGCCAGCCTCTTCATTATGCCGTACGGCACCAGCGCCCGCAAGCAATTATCCAGCTTTTGCTGAGCAAGGGCGCCTCGATCAATCAAGTGATGTTCAGCAATCATTCTGCTTCGTATCTCCAATTTGAATGCCTAGGGGTCGGCACTCCGCTGCACGAAGCTGCAAAAGCAAAGAACAAAGGTCTGATCAAACTGTTGATGGCGAACGGCGCAGATCCGTCGATTCCAGATTCGCGAGGGAAGCTTCCGGAACTGTGACAAGTTCAACTGTTTTCGGAAAGGGGAAGTTTCTCAATGTGCTATATCGTCTTTCTGCCTACCTCGGCTCGGTGATAAAGCAGTGGAATGAAGAAATCATGTTCAAGCGATGACAGCCGAGATAAATTTTTGTCACTGATTCACATTCCTGCTCAACCATATCAAAGTGTAGGAGTTTGGGCTCTCTCATCGGTGCACGTGGCTGACGGCCTCCTCGTCAAAGCATCCGGTATCCAAAGCTTCTATGTGCCTGCGCAACTTTGTGTTATAGCCTCGCTGAAGCCAATTCCCATTCTGGGTCTCGCAGTGACCAGGACGAAGATATTTCGATTCCAGTCAAGGAAGGGATCGTAAAGGGATTGATGGGGTATGGATGGCACAACTGACACTGATCACTAGATCAGACCGACCTTTTCTCGCCATGTCTCCTTCTTCAATTTCATGTACAGACTATCACACCATGTCTCCCCAACCTTGTATGTTTTCTCCTCGAATCCGCTTACCACAAATCCGACTTTCCTCAATAGCCCACAGCACGACTGATTACGTGGATCCACATCTGCGGTAATCTCACTCAACCCTGCCTCACCAAAGAAGTAAGGAATGACAGCTTCAAGCGCTTCTCGTGCAATACCTTGACCCCAGTATTTGCGGACCAGGAAGAATCCGATTTCCTGGTCTTTCCAGACGCCGATCTTGCCCACGACAACGGGATGATGCGCTGGAGTCGAAGTGGTGAGTGTGATGAGGAAGTCTGTGACACCGTTCTGCCGAGACTCGAGCATCGAAGAGAGCCATTTCGCAGTGGACGCAAGGCAAGTGTGCGGATCCGAACCCCTTTGCAGTCTTCTGTTATGGGGTATGTTCGAATCGAAGATTTTCATAACCAAGTGCCGGGGCAGCACTAGGCAGCGAAGAGCCAACTTACATGTATTTCATAACCTCGGGATCTGAGAATGCTTCGAACAGGGCTGTCTCATCGGTAGTGGTTGCTCTCGCACCTCGGAGAAGGAGCCTGGATGTAGAGATCTCGACCTTCTCGTCTTCTACGTGTAAGACTGTCGTCATTTCTTTGATGCTCGGCTTCACTTTTCATGGTCTGGTCGTGCTCGTCTTTCCGCTGGAAAGAAAAGTACTTATATCACACACATTACACATTTACTGTCGAGGAGAATATAATATTAGCAAGCCCCAAATGACACCGATCTTGCCAAGGTGGGAAGAGTCATCCTGTTTTGTGTGGCAAAGACTCAATCCTCTATTTAGTGGTGCAACATCAACCTCTCCCCCACCATGCGGTTTATACCGAAGTTGGAAGGCACAAGCTTTTTTTGGAGGACAAAGGAGGTACAGCCTCGTCTGGTCTTGTCTCAACCCGCAAGGCCAAACAAATACAAGAAAATAATTAACTCCCTTCTGCAGCTGTCTCAATGCCATGCTTTCTACATTCTCATCTCCTGGAGGATTCATTCTTCTTGACATACTGTTTAGTCTCCTGTCTGTCTCAAACATATCATTTTTGGTGGACGGTGGACTTGTATGGGCCGTCTGGATTCGTCAACAGCCCTGAAGCCGCTCGCCTCATGAGGTGAGCTGAGTGTGGTTTGTTCAGGAGAGCACAAATATCCATCAATCCTACCTAAAAGGCATTCAGTGATGGTCTACTCGTCATACATGAAGAGGAACGTTGATATCAGATGATAGCATAAATGCGCTGCTCCAAGTCGAGGTCTGTGACCCTTATGGATTGGGACCTTGACTCCGCGACTTTGTGCCCGTGCCTTTGACCAAGGTTTTCATACTTAGAGAAATGAAGTTAGTTGGTCTGGCAGATTTGCCAACAGTCGTCTGCTATATCTTCCCACAAGGTGCATTCGTCAGCTTCGTTTCTCGTCGAGCATGGCAAGAATTCTTCATGGAATCGAGGGCCAGGTGTTAGTCGTGGTGATGCCCTCCATCGCTCAAGAATCCGGACTCGGGGTCGGTGTAGAGATACACCCAGGGAGTGGATATTTGAGTACCAGCGGCCGCCTGATTCATTGTCACTCAAACCCAGCCGGCGTCCATTTGGATTCAGTCGCAGGCGGACTCCCTGGCTTCAAGCAAGAAGTAGGACCCACTCCATATCTATTCACCGGCAATAACTCGAGATAAATATATCTCTCGCCAAATTTTGTCCACATTCGACTTGCGAAGTGATGTTTGAAACAAAGTCCTGTCTACAGCGTCATCCTCATCTCCCTAATTCGCAGCCAGAAGTGAATAGCCAAGCATCATTGAAACGTAGGAGCTCTACTTTGTAACTCCCTAACTCGGGTGATATGTTGACTTCGGATATGATCATAGTGGTTACAGGGAAATGCGTAGGAGCTCTGGTCCAGGAAAAGTGATCGGTGGGAGCAAATAATAAATCATCATCACTCAGCTAATCGAATGTGAAACCAAAAAAAAAAAAAAAACGCAACTCTGGGTTTTTCTCACAATGTGAGTTTTTTTTGTGGTTTTCGTGGCCCATCATTCATAAAGGAGATATCATGCGTGATTGAGGAAGGTTGTCCGCGCACTTCTTTCAAAATCCAGCAGAGAAGGAGGAACGAATGAACGTGTGCTGTCGGCGTACGCCTAGTGCTCGAATACACCGGTTCAATGTTTGCCCGGAAAGGAAGGCCTTGTGAGTTGTCGCTGCTAGGACCGCCGGTCAGAGAGGCTTTGTAGAAGGTATGGGAGAATACTATAGCTATGTGAGCAAAAGATAATTTGAACTCGCATTCATGAAGCAGAGTGGTGAGGAAAGAATGATTCCAGGCTTGTAAAAGAGGTCATCATATTGTTATTGAGAGCTCAACAACTTAATCGATACTTCTTCGTCGACTTGATGAATGTTATCTTGAAGTTCCGATCAGTCGCTGACCACCACAGTTTCATCGAACAATCATGGGTGTAGATCTATTGGAGTTGCCCTCATAAAATATAAATCTTGGGTGTGGTTCCGTCCAGTGGCTTGCCCATTTGGGCGGTTTGAGCCAAAATCTGTGGCATATGGTCGCGGCAATAGATCATGAATTGCAGCGCTCTGTGTGCGGGCATATGCTTGCTTAATTCATTCACCGAACAGTCTTCTCACACGCCGTAGGACGCTGTCTTTCTCGGGGTCATAAGGATGATCTTTGCTCGGGATTTCGAGGACCGCAGGGAACGGGTCCTGGAACCTGTCGACAGTGTCTCGGATTTGCTCCGCAATCTATAGCAAGATCAGCGTTGCAATTCTACCCCAAAGCTCCCGCCTTATCATACGTGTTGGTTTATCAGGACGATTCCAATATCTTTCCGCTCTTTGGTAAATCTGTTGAAAGCTTGCTCGATTTGAGGCTTCTCTGTCTTTGAATCGCACACGAGAAAGTTCTTCTGTGAGTCAGGAGGGTCGGTAATATGTCCGATGCCAGCAAGCAACAAGCCAGTGACTGAGCTGGAACACCCAAGTGAGTCGAGAGGTCAGCTGTTTAGCAGTAGATGCGGGACTTACTCCTCGTCACCAATGACAGCAACGAATTGCCGATCCTAGACAGCGCTGGTAAGCAAAGATCTCCTCACAGAGACAATACAATTTACCTTGTATGCCGACACTGGCGCTGCCATAGTTGCCAACCGTTGGAGCCTGAGTTTTGGAAATAGATTGAAGCTGTTTCTGCAGAAGTGAATG